GGCGTAGAGATTACCTGGACATCTCCCAACCGTCTCCCCCCAAATTCCTAGTTTAAAGCTCTCTTAATCAGTTGAGCCAGCCTCCATCCTAGAAGTCTATTTCCCTCCCTATTTAGGTGAAGTCCATCCCGAGAGAATAGTCTTCTGTCCATAAATGCCTCCCAGTGACCATACATCCCAAAGCCCTCCTTATAGCACCACTGCCTAAGCCATCTATTGCTCATCATAATCCTGTCACATCTTAGTTGTCCTTCTCTAGGAACAGGCAGAATCCCACTAAAGCTCACCTGAGCCTCAATTTCCTTAAGCATCCTCCCCAGCCTGGCATAGTCTCCCTTAATTCGTTCCAGCGAGAATCTAGCCGTATCATTTGTTCCTACATGAAGGATGATCAATGGATTCCTTCCTGCTCCCTTAATAATTCTCTTCAACCTCAGTTCCACATCTCGTATCTTAGCACCTGGCAGACAGCACACCCTTTTATTCTCTGGATCAGCTCTGGTTACAGGCCTATCTATTCTTCTCAATAAGGAGTCCCCAGTCACATAGACCTGCCTTTTCCTAGTGACATTGAAATTCTCTGGTCTATCTCTAGCTTCCTCTGGCTGCAAGTCCTTGCCATTCCTATTTTCCCTTGTAATCCTAATGCTCATTATTGGTGTTGTTTCCATTAAGTCTTCCCCTTTATCTGTGGGACTAGCCACTCTTCTCTTCTTCCTTACCCTTCCATCTTTATTATCTACCTGATGTACCCCTTCTTCATTTTCCAGCTCCACATACCTGTTCTTGAGCTCTAGTTTTCCTTCACTGACCCATCTTTTCCTCTGCCTGGTCCTCTGAGTCATATGCTTCCACTGTCCAAATTCTATTACATATATTTCATTTCTTGAACTTTCCTATAAAATTACTTTGCCCGGTCAACGATGGGCCTCACCTGCTAGGTTCTAATAAAATATATGGTCACCTTTTATATATTGGCCATTGTTCTCCTTTTGTCCTCTTGATCATCCAGTTTATATTCTATATTCAACACTTGCATCTAATGTATAGTTACATTTTTGTATTTTCTTTTCTTTTGGTGCCTGTGTAGTATTTTTCCTCAATCTGGCTAGTTCTGTGCTTTTTAGTGCATTGTTTCCTTTATTATCTCTGTAGTTGGAAGTGAAAAGCATTGCTTTTTAATAGTGCCTTCTCAATGACCTTTCAAAAGCAGTGCATAAACTTTTAAAACCTTTATTTAAGTAGATAAGACTACTTTACTGTTTGTAGCATTTGCTATATTTAGTACTCTTTTGTAGTCTATAGTACTGTAATTATAGGAGATGCTGAGATATTTACTTGTGCTATTGGAAAGTCAAGGTGATTGTGTCTTTCTGAATCAGAAGTGATGGCAAATACAACAGATTGATTTCCTAAGTGATGCCTTTTAATGGGCACAAGCAAGGAGTTTCTCTGTGTATTCTCCCAAATATCGTTACTTCCAAAGGTCACCTAGAAAATAAGACAAGGCTTGAGTTTTTTTGATAGCTTCTAACTGAGTCCTTCCAGTTCTCCTGGATCAAGCTTCAAGATCTTCTTTCTTAGGAGCAGGAGCATATTCTCCATCTGGACTTGAAATTTCTGCAACTGACTGCCTGCAAACACATTTTGACTTTGGTTGTAGCATGTTTTGTTAAAGAGCCATGAATTGTATACAGTACAGTAGAGAGCAATCTTTTTCTAGACTGCTCAGAAGAAAATTGTTTTAGCATCTGCCTCCATCCCAGACTATTTACTATCATAGGCTAGTTTGGTCTTTAGGTACAAATTTCATTACTTGGCTATATCATCTTATATATCTGTTCAGAGGTTTTCCTTCTTCAAGCATCTGCTGTCTGAAGCAGCGTTTTCTTGGAACTTGAATCTACTATTTGCCAAGTTCAGAGCACTACTTTTTGAATTTTGAGAGAATGGTCACTGTGCTCTCTGCTGAAGAATACTGATATCATTAATAATGAGTAGTCCTGTGGCACCTTAGAGACTTAATCTCTAAGGTGCCACAAGACTACTTGTTGTTTTTAAAGTTTCAGACTAACATGGATACCCCTCTGAGACTTGATATCATTAATGTCAGCCATGAGAGTTAATGAGATCCAAGGCCTATTGGCTGACTCACCGTACAGTGTTCAGAAAGATAAGATGTTCCTACAAATTTGCTACATTTCTGCCTAAAGCTTTACAGATGATTTTTACCCTTTGAAACAATTATCCTATCTATATTTTATTCCTCTACATTATACATTTTTCCAAAGGGGGAAAGGCTTCACTATTCAGTTGTTATAGAACTCTTAATTACTGCTTAGATAAGTACTGTAGATGATATCATGAGCTTTCGTGGGCACAGCCCACTTCTTCAGGTGACCAGAGGTCACGTAGAAAATAAGACAAGGCTTGAGTTTTTTGTTGATAGCTTCTAACTGAGTCCTTCCAGTTCTCCTGGATCGATCTTCAAGATCTTCTTTCTTAGGAGCAGGAACATATTCTCCATCCGGACTTGAAATGTCTGCAGTTGACTGCCTGCAAACACATTTTGACTTTGGTTGTACTATGTTTTGTTAAAGAGCCATGAATTGTATACAGAACAGTAGAGAGCAATTTTTCTCTAGACTCCAGTCATCTGAAGAAGTGGGCTATGCCCACGAAAGCTCATGATGCCATCTACATATTTTGTTAGTCTATAAAGTGCTACTAGACCATTTGTTGTTTTTTTTCTGTACAGACTAACACGGCTACCCCCAAAGCTGCATAGCTAAGTTAATTCTCCTTATGCTATTCATGACATATAGAGATAGTAAATCTAAAGGAAAAGCTAACACTTCAAAAGTGTCAAAGTGGCTCATATTTTACATCCAAGCCTGTTATGAATCTGCAGATAATATAATATCTAAAGGTCTTAAAACATGTTTTTCTAAGTCAAAAGCACCGTGCCCGAGCAATTTCTATCACAATGGTGTATATAAGGCTGGTCCTTGGAGTTCTATGTGTATGTTTAAGTTGCACTACTCTCTTGATTTGACAGTTTATTATAGATTTGATATTTCTGTCAAAACCTGCCTTCTTCAGATTTTTAGAATCTCTAGAATTTTTACTAAGTGGAAAGGAACTGAAGCCATAGTTGTTTATATGCAGTAACTTTGCACCAAGCATTTGGTTTCTTGACATGGCAAATGTGTGACCCATTGTTGCCATCCTTGGTATTTTTAGTACAACCTCAGCTCTTCAAGGGAAGTGTTTATGTAAGAATATATGATAATTTTAAAATGAAAGTTTCTGGCTCTAATATGCTGCAGAAAAAAAGCCAGAAAATGTGAATGAAGTGTACTTTAAGGGCTTAGAAATCTAAAGGCAAATTAAATGAACACCAAATGTATTCTTTTTAAAAATTTCTTGATTGAATATTTGTACAGTAAAACTCTGTTGGTCTGGCACTCCTGATGGTCTGGTACCATTAGGAACCCGGAAGTGCTCCGGACAGCCGGACCATTGGAGTTGCTCTGCCCCCCGCTTCCCTGATTCAGCCGCTGCTAAAACTGACCAGTGGCTGAATCGGGGAAGCCGGGGGCAAAGCAGCTAGAGCGCTGCCCGGCAGGTGCCCTGCAG